AAAATTGTAGTTATGCACTAAAATCATGTATTAACTTTAAGAAGTATCAAGTCAAAATAATATTATATATCACATGATTTATAATCATCCAGGTGGGACAATGCTAAAACATACTTAAGCCTATGAGTTAAATTAACTCTTAAGGCCGGAGTAGTTTTTCATTGGTCCATTTTCATTCATTTTAATGTTAAACCCAATTTAATTTTATCAGTGGATAGGCCTTAATTGATATTTTATATTTTATTGGTCCAACATATATGATTTGTGTTTGATATTAACCTTGAACAAAAGAAAGTTTAAGAAAGTCTTTTTATTGGTTGGATACTCAATACTCTTAATTGAATTTTATATTGGGCATGAAAGCTTGACTTCTTCATCATGTATAGGTAAATTGAGTAAAATTTTGAAATAGATTGATTAATTGGCTTTGACATATACAAATTTTTAATATTTAAGAATGTATGACAATATATATGATTTTTAGTATCTATAAATGTACAAAAATAATATAGGTTGTAGATAAATGTAATAAAGTTGAATACTTTGATCAATCATATGTGAAATGTGTATAATTGATCAAAACATATGTAAATGTCATTTTAATATCTTCTAAGTATAAATTAATTTTCAGTATTCGCGTAAATTATATAGAATATGATAAATTTTGGATTTATATGTATTTATCAGACATAACAAATGAAAAACAATATATGTTCTCCAATAATTAAATTTATAAAAATTTATAAATGTGATTAAATATGTATAATAGACTACAAATAGAAATATTTGTATAACATACTAATCTATATACCTATAAAATAGATAATATCGTTATAAATATAATAATGAAAAAATTGTTAATACATAAGAAATGTTTTAAGATGGTGATATGGTAAGTCTAAAATATTAAATTTAGTTGGGTTTAAATTTGTAAAATATATATTAATGAATTTATTTTATAAAATTAATAAACATTTATAATGATTTTCATCATGGCATATAGTATTAGCTAAAAAATTAATTGGTTAATTTAAATGATATCAAATACATGTTTTCTCTAAGTATCTCTCCAAATAATATATATAGGATACTTTTCTTAGAAAAACAGAGCATAGTGTTGACAATAAGACTTGTTATATGGTCTTGACTCTTGTATTTTTTTCTAAGTCATGAAACATATTTAATATACAAGTACTTTTCTTAGAAAAGCAGAGCATATTGCGCAGAGTAAGACTATTTATATGTTTGTTATGAGAGTTTAATTGATATATATAAGTTATCTAGATATGACACATAATAGGCTTACTTGTTACAGAACTAAGTCATTTGTTCCATAAAAACTTGTGGTTCATAAAATACCTCGCATACCAATCCCTTATCTACATGATTTAGTAAATCAGCCATATTTAAATATCGCATTGTTACGTC